GTTATCAGGGACTCCTGGATGTTCATACAAACTTATTTTTACTACAGATGGAATTGATTTAACAAAAAAATCCAATTAGTTGAAAATGTAAGATATAGGTAAAGGAGACCTAAATTTTGGTTTGAAAATAAACTTAAGGGATTGTGAAATTGGTGAGTATTTTACAGTCGTAGGAAAATGTATCTAATGTGAGCAGAGCTTTTCATTGGTAAAAATGATAGAACCTGGAAGTTGCGATATCTGTCCAACTGAAAAAGCAATATGTAATGGAGGAGCTAAAATAGGGCCACTGCCCGGATTTTGGAGAAGTAGTAATTAATCCTAGAATTTTATGCTATGTCTTCTTGAATAAGCTTGTTTAGGAATGATTCCTCCTTTAAATAATCCCTTAGGTGAATGTCTATTGGGATATTAAGGAATACTTTGTGCGGATTGCTAAAGAGGCTATTCAAGAGATGGTGATTATAAGTGTTCATTGTGTCCTAATCGTGGGTTGAATATATTAAGGTTAATCGCTTTATTTATTGGTGCAGTAACTTTAGTTGTTTTTATGATTAGATAAACATTAAAAGGCGCAAAAGACATGAACAATGTTACAAGTATTTACTTGAAGATACTTCTAAATCATTTTTAGCTACTTTTAATGACTACCTCATTTGATTTCTAATGGTCATAACAAATATTCTCCTTCTTCTCTACTTCTAAATAATTAGCAACACAATCAACTTAGATATTGAGCTTTGATTGTTTCCTAGATACAAGAGAAGGAAACTAAAGCTCACAAAATAGCAAAATGTTTTACTAAAAATTAATTATAATAGCATTATTACCTTTCTTACTTGCAATTGCATGCACATTAATTTGGTACATTTACAAGCAAATTATGAGGAATTAAGTTTTGATTGCCTCGAAAATAATGTCAAGTTTAGTGATAATACTCTTTCTAGTACATCCAAGCTTGGTTACTTTTTCATTTAATGCTTTTAAATGCAAAGAGATAGATGAATAGGAAAGAGTTTAAGTTGATTTAGAAATTCTTTGCTGGTCCTAAGAACATACCTTCTATAGTTGTCTGGTTGCTTTACCTTGTATTATTGTTTGGGGACTTGGTATTCCATTCTTTGCTTTATCTATATTAATAAAAATGAGAAAGAAGCTAGAAAACTTTTAAATCAAATAAAAATATGGGTTCTTATACAGAGGATATAGAAAATAATACTATTATTGGGAAATTGTAATTATGTATAGGAAAATTTTCATTATTTTTACTGTCGTTTTCATTAGCAACTTTGGAATAATAGCATAAGCTTTGATTGTTTTCCTTTTCCTGATTGTATTTCTACTAATCAACCTCAAGAAGAAGCCTTTCAATACAATTGCCCTGAATGATTTGGAGACACTATCTCTTATAACCTAAATAACAACAATTTACTGTGGCCTATTCTTCATTCTAAATAAACCTAGAGAGTGGATTTAATAAAATCCTGATTTTTCTAGAGGTTCAGTTTATTTATCAGAATCATTTTAAAGGCTATTTTTTGCTTTTATTCTACTCTCAAATTTGTTCTTCTTTATATACTGGGCTTTGAAAATGTATTAAGAAGGCAGAGCAAAGTTAAGAAATAATTTGACTAAGCTTTATTTAGCTATATGTCTATGCAACAATCACTCCAAACTAGAAAAAGAGTTTAAAGTTCATAAAATTGATTCATAAAACAAGATTTACCAATAACAATTGAAAGATCAATTCAAATTGTTAAATAATTTAATAATAGATGGATAATACATACTAAACAAAGCTAATATGGAAAGATTAATGATTCATCTTTAAAAAGAATAGATTTTGAAGCTAATTAAAACATGAAATTAAGAAAAAGATTTTATAAAGCATCTTGAAACTTAAAAGTCAAGAGTTAAAAGGCAGAAATAATTATTTAGTAAATTATAGTAATAGTAAACTTTAGATGATGAATAATTAATAGATTAAGATGATTTAGTCTAAAACCCTTTTTAATAAGAAAGTGATAGCAGGATTTTAACTATGCAAACAGATGATTCGTAGTTTAATATTAACTTTGAACCACAATCTTAAAATGCTAGATAAAAAGAATTTAAATATCTAAATAATAATTACACTTCAGATTATAAAAGTCTCAAAGCTAAGAAAAATATTCCTATTTTTATTGAACACTTAAGGGGTGATTCACTTAATTCGCTTCATAATGTAAATTAAGCCTCTAGTTAAGTAGATATAAATAATAAAATAGTATGGAATACTCCAATAATTAAAGGTAATGACTAATCATATCAAGATTAGTCCTAAAGTTAAGGTTCGTTTAGGTTATCATTAAATGAAAATAATTCTTCTAGATCACTATTAGGGAATAAACTAGGTGAAGTTTTTAGCGTCAAATAATTATAATAGACCAATTAAATAGTTGATAATTTCAAGAAATTTAATCAGAAGAGACAGCTAGATGATATTTAAATATTTAAAAAGTAGTCATCCAAAAGAGTTGTTTAAAAAAAGGGGAAAAGGCTTTCAAATATTAGTTTACTTGTATCAAAAGACTAAGTGGAGAGTATGGATTTTAAAATGAGAAAAAATTTAAGAATGAAATAATAATCCTAGTTAAATTTTTAATCAGATTATTATGATTAAGAAGTCTAAATTTAAGAGATTTCAATAGATTAATCTGATAAAGATTCTAACCACTAAGAGCAGAATGTTTTAGAATATAAGGACCAAGATTTCGCAAATGAGTAAGACATTTCAGATTTAGTGATCTCTGATGATGATAAAAAAAGCAGTGTTGATTATGAATAAGAAGAAATATATTATGATGATAAAATGCTTTTGTATAAAGATAAGGATTAATTCAATAAACTAAATGAGACCTTAATTCTCAGACTTTTGCAATCATAAAAGATTTAGATTAGCTAAAAAGAAATATCTGAGAAATAAAAACAAAAAGATTCGATAGAAGAATCAAAAGTTGCATAAAATAATAGTAGGAATGATGAGCTTGAACATCAAGCCTAAATTTGTGATGACCCAATGCTGTAATTACAAGACTATACCTCAGAAGATGAGGTTATAAAGATTCAAAGTGATCTCATAATTAATAGCATTAGATTTGATTCAACTTAAAATTAAAATAATAATGATTCTCAAAAGGTTTTGTCTTCTTATTCATAGAAGTCAAACATAATATTTTAGACAAATGAGGATTCTAAATGATTATTTTATGAAATTTTTCATTGAGTGATGGAAAATTAACGATTAAGATTTATTTATAATAATCACTATATTATTTCTAAGATGTATTCCAATTATTTAAATTCTAATTCCCTTAATTTGCATAATACTCTTGTTAAGGGGTTTTGGGGTTTTGGGG